GTAATCTAATTCCAATGGACTTACACTGAATTAATTCATTTTTTTTTAATTTTAGACAAGGTGTCAACCTTACTATGTAGCTGAGGATGATCTTGAAGTTCTGATCCTCCTGCCTCCACTTCCTGGACACTGGAATTACAGTGTTTGGGGATGGAACCCACCAGGGCTTTGTGCATACTGGTAAAGCACTCTGCCAACTAAGCCACATCCTCAGCCCTAATATTGATTTGGTAAAATTCAACAAACATTTTACTGAACTAGGGGCTTTCATAACTAGTTGGCAACTGAAAAGGAGGGGAAAGAAAAGTATCGCAAGATCACAAGTATTACATTCTCTTTCTCCTCTCTCTCTCTCTCTCTCTCTCTCTTTCACTTTTCACACTAAATAGCCATGTGTTTTGTTTTGTGTTATGGTAGCTCACCCTTTCTCCCTTTCTCCCTACTTAGATTTCTTTCAGTTCAACAACACTAGTGCTCATGGTTCCAGAGGAGGAATGAGACTGTGCAGAATGTTGCAACAAGTTAGTCTTCTCTGTATTCTTCAAAACCTGAAGGACTTCAGAGAAAGGCAGAGTAACCCAAAACCAAAGTATTTGAGAAGTTTTAAAAGTATTTTAAGTATTTTAAAAGGTTTGAGAGGAACTCAACTTTCCTTCAGTATTTCCACAAGCGAGGAGGTACCAACAGGCAGGGAGTCATTAGCGGACGAAGGTCTGTAGTTCCCGTGATGGGGACATGTCTGTAAGAGACACTGTGAGTGATCTGATGGTCAGCCTCCCAGGAGCCACCAACACCTGAACGGCATTTATCCTTATGGAAGTGGGCTTCGCCCATGTCTGCTTTGAATGGCTATCTCAGCTGACAGTCCCGTCAGCATCCACGGACTTCCCATCAACTGCCCCCAGCCATTCCCAAGTCAGTTCAGAGAAAGACTCTGCCCCAAGGCTTTTTCTCCGTCTTCACCCCAAAATATTTTGTCTCATATGGTAATTCCATAGCCTTTGTATCAATTTTTTCCTGGACCTCTCCTCCCTCTTCTGCCTCAATACCAATTTCTATAGCATCAGTGTTTTGACTATTGTAAATCCTCACTAAATATTCCTGATGAGTGACCTAGAACTATATAAAAACAATGAATGGGCAATAATATAATTTTCTTGCTTATATGAATAGGACCAGAACAAAATATTGGGTATAAAGGAACTCTGGAAACCCCCTTAACCAAGGTGAACATGTAACAACAGATAGCATGGGCAGAAAAAAACCCATGGTATACAAATGCACAAGAAAGGACTGGAGAGCTGGCTCAGTGGTTAAGAGCACTGGCTGCTCCTGCAGAAGACCTGGGTTCAATTCCCAGCACCCACATGGCAGCATGAGCAGTCACATTAACTAGATTATCTACTGATTATATTTATATTTACCCAGATGTCATACTGTAGCACTTGGAAATAGACTTGCTAAAAGTAGAAATTGGTTGTTTTAATTGTGCTTTGAGATAAAACAACATATTTAGAAATATCCTCAACTATAACACTGCCTTGATTTTTACAGCAATATATTCTAGTTAGTTACTGTCATTTCAGGTAGGTTTCCTTGGTTGTTCCTTTTTATTTTTTTTTTATTTTTTATTTTTTAGTCTTTTTTTGAGACAGGGTCTCTCTGTAGCCCCAGCTGTCCTGGAACTCACTATGCAGACCAGGCTGGCCTTGAACTCACAGAGATCCACCTGCCTCTGCCTCCCAAGTGCTGGGATTAAAGGCATGTGCCACCATGCCCAGCGGTTGTTCCTTTTTATTTCGATGAAGCAAAACTACAGATAAGGGGCTAGAGAGACGCCTCAATGGTTAAAAGCACTGGCTGCTCTTGCAGAGGACCTGAGTTGAGTTCCCAACACTCACATACATGGTGGTTCACAACCGTCGTAATTCCAATTCCAGGGGATCTGACAGCCTCTTCTGGCCTCCTTGGGCACAAGGCACACATGTAGTATACTCACACTCATACACATAAAATAAAAATAAATACAGGTCAATGGTTTGCCAAGGGAGTACTCTCTGTATTTAAGTTCTAATATGCTACCTATCTGGCATCCATGGAACTTAGAAAGTGCCCTGAAAAGTTACAGAACTCGAGTTTATTTTCAGACAGAAGTGAGCAAATTTTGTATTGTACCTCTACTTGTCCATGACTTTCTTAAACAATGGAAAGATCAGTTTTCAGAGTCTTGATGGCTTTTGGGAGCACCTGTAAGGTCGGCTCCGTAGCCTTGATGAATTGCTCCAGCTGGTCTGCTGCTGCTTCTGTGGGCTTGCTGGCATTCTCGGTTCTTAGTGCACCTCGCAGCTTTATCAAGGTGTCCATTTCAGTGGCTTGGGAAAGCTCTGGACTCATGCTTTTATCAGATGTGGTGGCATCTGGTTGCTCTTCCGTGTCCTCTCTATAGAAATCACTTAATCAAAGATCTATGATGGGGAGCTGCATCAGGAGTGAAAAAGAAGTTTCCAGACTCCCAAGGATCTGATTACTGTTCAGCACAGAGACAGTGACTTGTGTCTGGATATTCGTGAACTTAGCTGGATGGCACAGGTCCACGTGGGTGCATCCCTCGGCTGTGGTGCTCATGGCAGTTGCAACCTTGGAACATAAAGACTCCTTTGGCATCCTGCTCTGCTTTGCATCTGTTATCAACTACATCTCCTTAAATTTTTTGATCATTCGTTCAAAGAAATCCTCATGCAACTATCTTCTTTCATGTCCATTGGTGGGATCTGAGTCTTCAGAGCAAGGTTAAACAATTGAATGAACGTATTTATGAAGGAAACAAGATCTCGAATGTGAAAGAAGAATATTTTGGCAGCTTGAATCAGTCTCTCTTTGTCCTTTTCTGACTCTGAGGACATTTCTCCAACTTAGAAATTTTAGCACTGCAAAGAAAAGCAAAACCCTAATGAAAATTGTAATTGGGATTGGCCACCATGAAGAGGTTACCCTAAAAGGAGAATTTAAACATTAGGATGAGTCCCAACAAGAATGGGGGGGGGAAGACATACAAAATTTAAACAGATATGATACTGGGCTTTAAATAGAAATAACAGAAATAAGAAAGAATAGGAATGTGTCACTGAATTCATACCACACACATTAGGTAGTTAGTCAGGTATCAGCAGGCTGGGAGGTAATTGCAGATTGATTGTCCCCCTCAACATCAGCTTTGAACCCCACCTCTTGTTTCCCTGGTAACACACTAATTTTAAGAAGAGGAAATATCACAATTGTATGCCTCAGAATTTAAAATACCACGTGAAAGGAAAGAAGTGTCCTAATTGACCCTCGATAAGATTTAAAATACTAGGGCTGGAGAGATGGCTCGGCTGTTAAGAGTACCAACTGCTCTTGCAGAGGACCTGGGTTTGAGTCTCAGCACCCACATGGCGACTAACAACCACCTGTAATTCCAGTTCCAGGGGATTCAATGGCCTCTTCTGACCTCCTTGGGTATTGCATGACATAGGTGCACTTACATACATGCAGTCAATACACTCACACTGAATAAAAATAACAAAATACTTTTATTAAAAAAATATTTAAAATACCAGATGATCTGGGCATGGTGGTGCACACCTTTAATGCCAGCACTCAGGAGGCAGAGACAGGCAGCTTTCTGTGAACTTGAGGTCAGCCTGATCTACATAGCAAGTACCAGGACAGCTGGAACTAGCTACAGGGAGATATAATCTCAAAAAACAAAACAACCCAAACCAACCAGTCTAGTCTAACCAAACCAAACCAACCAGCCAGTCTAACCAAATCTGGAAGTTTCAGATTCAAAGAGACCCTGTCTCAAAACATAAGGAGGACAGTGATTGAGAAAGAGACCTGATGTCAGTCAACTCCTGGCTTCCATTTGCACACATGTACACACACACACACACACACACACGGAGCTGGGCCATGGGATTTAGGGATGTAATCCCAGCAAGTCAGAGGCTGAAGGAAGAAAATCATAAATTCAAGGACTGCAGATTGAGTTCAAGTCCAGCCAGCCCGGGCACCTTTGTGAGTCACTGTGTCAAAATAAAATGTAAACTGGGCCAAGTGTGGTGATGCACACCTTTAATCCCAGCACTTGGGAGGTAGAGGCAGACGGATCTCTGTGAGTTCAAGGCTAGCCTGGTCTACATAGTGAGCTCCAGGCCAGCTGGGGCTACAGGGAGACCCTGTCTCAAGCAGCACTATATGCATTTTCAGCTCACTGAAACAGAGCTGTGAACTAGGGAACTACCATGAGGATCCAGACCAAAATGTCAGGGCATTTGAAAAAACTTAATTAGATATATTCGCTGACTTGGAATGATGTGCTGTTCTTTAATAATGAACAAGCAGTAGCCTTCTTAGAAAAAAGGGGAAAACGGATCTGGGCATGGTGGTGCACACCTTTAATGCCAGCACTCAGGAGGCAGAGACAGGCAGATCTCTGTGATTTTGAGGCCAGCCTGCTCTCCAGGCCAGCTGAGGCTACAGGGAGACACTGTCTCAAAAAGACCAAAATATAATTAATAAATAAATAAATAAATAAATAAGTAAATAAATACAAAATACCAGATGAAAGGAGGGGGATGCAGATAGCAGAGCTGTGTTGAGAGGGCCATTAGGAGAAGGCTGCTTCTTCCTGATGGTGCATGGCTATTGCATAGATTTATTTTGTATTTTTCAATTATTTTAATCTACTTTATTACATGAATTTTGGTCAAAATAATGGAACATAAATTCTACCTCTGGTCCTGGGTTGGAACATGACATTCTAAGTTGCTCAAAAGAATATAAAGATGTATTATTATCCCTTTCCTTAAAAGTTAATCCAACAGGGCTTAATCACCTAGACAGGAAAACATACCTCAAAGCTGTAACCTCAAGAAACAAGATACACCTGAAAACCTACTGAAAAGAGAAGAGGGGCCAACGAGATGGCTTAGCTGGTAAAAGCACTCGCTGGTCATGAGTCCGATGACCTTAGTTTGATCCCAGAACCTACAGTAAAGGGAGAAAACCGACTCTGCTGACCTTCACATTTGTGTCTGTAACAAGTGCACACCCTCACTTATACACAGTGCACACAGACACCGTAAATTAAAAACAAAACAATCTTTTTAAAAACGGAAAAGATGAAAGAAATAACTGTCCTCAGTAAGATACGCACTTTCAAACTACAAAACCTCTGCAGTTGCCTAGAGACCTTTATTATTAAGTTTGCTGTCTTCTAAGTTGTAACTCAGAATTGATCTTATTCCCCTCCCCCACCCAAACATTCCTCCTGCCCATGTACAGCAGTGGGATGCTGCATCACAGAGATGCCTGAATATAGACAGTCTGCCGCTTAGCATCCATTTCAACCAAGAGTGGAACCCCAGCTGTTCAGAGAATTTGCTCCTTCAGATTTCTCCCCAAATGGGGCTCCCAAACCAAGGTCTTGCTCGCTCTCTATCAAAACGATACATCCAGCATGAAATGGAGAAAGAAAAGAGGCGCTGTCTTACGGAAGGACTGTGCCATTTCTGGCCCTTAATTACCTGGAACAGCACATACAACCAGAAACATGTTATCAGTTAATGTCATCTGTTGTTTGTAACACAACTAGGACTATCTGTCAGATACACATACACATAGAATACAAATGGGATTATCTATTACACACACACATACAGGCATGCATGTTCTAGATCAAGGGCAAGGAAGTATCATGAGGAATTAAAGTTATCTGTTTAGGTTACAAGAGGAGCTCAAGGCCTGGTAAGTTTCTTTACATTACAAACAAGCTGAGATAGTGGTAAATGATCTCAAAACATAAGATTTGGTTACAAGGTTCAGTAAAACCCATTTGTTCAGAAGTCCTTCCCACACCCACGAAGCTGCTTGTAGGTTTATATCTATCTCTAACTTACGTCCTACTTCTCTCCATCTTCCTTGGCTTAGTTCTTTACTGTTGCTATGAAACAATTTAGGGTTTTATCTAAAAGTTCATCCTTAAGGGGATGTCACAGCAGCAGGACCTTCAGTCAGCAGGCACATTGCATCCCTCATCAAGAAGTAAAGAGCTCTGGGGCTGGAGAGATGGCCCAATGGCACTGACTGCTCTTGCAGAGGACCCAGGTTCGATTCCCAGCACTCACAGGGCAGCGATCAATCACCTGTAACTCCAGCTCCAGGGGATTTGATGCCCTCTTCTGACCTCCATGGGCATTGCACACATCACAGGTGCACTTACACACATGCAGGCAATACACTCATACACATAAAATAAAAATTTTTTAAAATTTTTGGTCTTTTTGAGATAGGGTCTCCCTATAGCCCCAGCTGATCTGGAACTCGCTATGCAGACTAGACTGGCCTTGAACTCACAGATCTGCCTGCCTATGCCTCTCAAGTGCTGGGATTAAAGGCATGCACCACCACGCCCAGCCAAAAATAAACTTTAAAAAAAAAAAAAATAGAAGAGAGCTCTGAATGCACACTAGTGCTCAGCTCAAATTCTCCACTCTCACACAGCCCAGAATCTTCGGCATAGGGAACGGTGTTACCCACAGTGGGTGGGTCTTCGCACTTCAATAAATATATTCAAGATAATCCTCACAGACATGCTGAGAGGCCCATCTCCTAGGGAGTTCTAGATTCTGTCAAGTTGACAATTAATTCCAAATATTACATCCCCTATGTTCTCTGTAACACACACAATCAAATAGTATGTGCTGTCCTGAATACACAGATATGCGAATATATGAAATGACTCACTTTCACGGATATTATCCTCAACAACCATTCACTTTAGTGGAGAAGATTGTGATACAGCACTCAAAAATACTTAGAGGGGTGCTGACCTCAATTAAGATAAAGTACAGTTCACCTAATCTTCACTACTCATGACGCTGAAATGGGAGAGTAGGGCAGAGTGGAGAAGGCACCAAGATTAACATATAAAAAAGCCAGTCCAGATGGAGAATGTGGCTCAGTTGGCAGAGGGCTCTTCTAGCATTAGTGAAGCCCTGGGTTCAATCCCCAGCACCGCATAAACCTAGGTATGGTGGCATATGCCCATAATACCAGCATTTAGGAGGTGGAGGCAGGAGGATCAAAAACTCAAGGTCATCCTTAGAGATGTCAGAGGTCTCCCCTTTGTTTCTCCTTTGCATATCCCTTGATCCTGGTAGAGGGCCTAAAGACTTGAACACAAGGCACATCCCACTATTTCCCTTGATTCTTACAAGGCAGATACAGTTAAAGTACAGTGTTGCCAACTAAACTTCCATCCTTTGGCCCAACTTTTGTGAGGGCATTGCATGCATATGGTACACTAACATACATGCAGGCAAAACACTCATACACATAAAATAAAAATAAAATTTTAAAAATAAAATAAAAATAATAAAGGTCCAAATGCAACAGAAATTGAAGAAAATGTCTCTGGAAGTGTTGAAAGATGGACACTCAGAGCTACAATCCAAAGGTCATCTTCTCCACTGAGCTGGACTACTTCAATTTTGTGGCACTTTTCAATAATACAAAAACCTATTAAAGAACAGAAAATTTAAAAACAAGCATTACCTATGTATTAGTCTTTGAAAGTATATGACTTACTACATACTCAGATTATATACTATAGGAAACTGAAGCATTCTGAGAACTAAGCCAGGCAGAGGTGGCCATAAACCAGCCAGGCGGAGGGACCCAGCAGACACCAGCAAAGTGTGTAAGTCATCACATTCCACCAGAAGCATCCAGATGAAGCTAGTTGAAAATGCCCTTCAACAATCCTCCTAAACAACTGCTGGAACACAAACTCAGAAGCGTGGCAAGGTAAGTTAGGTAGACATTCCTATTCATGTTAGAATATGCTGAGTGCTGAGGG